TTTACACATATCCTAATAAGTAATGAAAAGCACATCGCCACAGTGTTACGGCACACGTGAGTCATAATGTATCTATGCTTTCTCCAATAGTCTGTAACCTGTGCAGAATACAACAATAGTAAATCATTTCTTAAGGTAAGTCAGGCCCACGTTACATTTTAATTAATGATTACCATGAAGTCAAATGACCCGAAAAATAGGACGAGCTCACACTATCTCCGTTTATAGTGATGACAGCGTACATAATATCACTCATACTCTTTTGCGTCGCACATTCGGTCTCGTGTTACCAACACTCACTGCACTGAAAACGGTTTTTAATTTAGTGAATGAAAGCCATCTTTAAATAATGTTGCTGAACGTTGGGTTATGTATATTATAGATTATAATGATGCATATATAATTTAGCTGAATTGGAAAATATTAACATTACTGGTTCTTGTTAATGCAGAGAATTCTCGACTTTCACAAAACCCGTCTGCAGTGCAATATGTAATTCTGTATTCCCTATTTGTATCATTTACTTTGTATTCGAGTATATTTCTATCGATGCATTTCACTATAACATCCCATGTGACATCCACGTGACGTGTTTCTATTTTCACACATGTGTATGTCTCGTTCTCGTGACGTGTCCAACTCAATATAGTAGTATCATGATCCAGTTCTACGATTGGCTCATCTAAAAATAATAACAGTTGCGATATTATGTTGATGTAAATACAAGGCTTGTACATACAATGTTATTACGTAACAATCATTTTATTATTTCTGTAGTTATTGTGGTTTACATCATTCAAAGCAAAGGTTTAAAGCGAAACGAACATAAATACGACTACACCATAATATTAATAATATCCATCCAAACCTTGCACAATACATTAAGATTCTCAACTGTTTTAAGATTATATGTCGATAATTTTCAAACGCCGATTTCCACAATTCAGGGTTAGCATTACTTTGTTTACTTCAAACTTACCCAATGTTCTGATCATAATACTATTACTGTATGGTCCTATACCAATTGCGTTGACAGCATATGCTCTACATTCATATGGTATTGACGGATCTAATTCAAGTATTTCTATCGTGATATTTGTTGTCTCTGAGTTATCAGCGTTCAATTCGTTGAAGGTTGCATTTCTCCGGGTACGATATTGTATAAAATATGTTGTATCTGCATCACCACCGTCATATCCGGGAATTATAGTGACAACCAGACTGTCATAGAATCGTGTTATTGGTACAATGGACTTTGGTGCATCTGGAACACCTATATGTAAATTGCCATTTTTATTTGTGAGTTCAAATTATAAACACAAAGAAATTAGCGAATAGTGACTATGGGGCTATCTACATAGATTAATCCAGTAATATTATTATTAATGTGAACAAACCCAAACGGTATATAACACAAGCTGCATAGTTTAATATTAACACTGTAATATTCACATTGTTTTTATTTGATTAGCAATATAACGATTGCTGTTTCCACATTTGCATAGGTTTGCAATTATTTTTAGTCTAAATGTAAATGACAATACTTACTTTTATCGTTGAATGTGACAATAAATGTTGTGTTGCCAATATCGTTTTCTGCAAAACAGGAATAACTACCATAGTCACTTAGCATTGTATTCTGTATTGTCAATATACTTTCATATAAGGTTCCACGTGACACTGTTTTGATGCTGATTCTACTGTCAATATTTATTGGCTGATTATTCGGACCATACCATATTATCGAAGAAAGTGGGTTGCTTTCAATCTCACATCGTAATTCTGCTACGCTCCCTTTGCTTGCATAGGATCGCTGATTCTTTGATACGTTCACAAAATATGGTTTATCTGGAAAAGAGCATTCAACTATTGCTATTAATTTCAATTTCATTTTGATGACATCACGAACAATTAAATACGATAAAATATGTTAAAAACGTATTACTGAACTCCTATGATATAATTTATAAATATCCAATAACCAGCAAGTAGTTCTTTTTAACGAAAAAAACACATTACTTATGATTGTATAATATTGTGATCTTAATTCAGCACAATTACAGTGCAATTACTCAAAGCCGAAGTTGGTTTATAATTAATAATCGCGATAGTTTGTTTGCTTAGAAATCTATTTTCCATTAACTAGCATAACGTAAATTATAATGGCTTTGATAACTGTTAATTGTGGCTAGCATATAGACATTGAAGTATATAAGTACGTGTAACATAATACTTGGTCCGTATGATCATTCGTTTGACTATCGACGCAGTACGCTGTCATTTGGTGTTTGCTATTCAAATATACATGTTCTAAATTCGTAAATGCGAGTACAAATGCGTCTTTAAATAACCATGATATTTAAAAAAATAAAAATTTAACATTTTTTTACTAATTCATCAAATATATTTCCAAAATTACATTTTTGTTATTTGTAGGTACTGCAATACAATGTTCGTCACGATAAAAATATAGTTCCACAAATTTGACCATTATGAGTAAATTACTTACAATACACAATAAGATGAATGGTATTAGAGGTCACGTGACCAGTAAAGTATATATTACTTGATTGACATTGATATGATTTATTGTTATGTTCTGCTTGTATGGATATTGCCATCTGTTGTTCACTTATTTTACCATTATAATCTCCATCTCTTGTAACATCAGATGTAATAGATTCATATGTATTAGCAGTCCATACATTGTTATCTTTTAACCATGATATCTGAGATGCTGGATTACTGGTTGATGTGGTACAAGTCAGTATTTTAGTTTCACCTTCTTCACGGGATTGGTTATGCCAGATAATGTCACAGACTCAGCTAGAACTGCAAAATAAAATTTGGACTTAATTGTGCACGTCTATTAAAGATAAAATTTGCAAAGCTTCCATGTGAATATGGAATATATGCCATCATTATTGTTTCATAAGAACGCTTTAGAAATGAAAATTTACAAAATTAAGGATGGAACAGTGTCAATAAGATCATCAACCAAAAGATATTCAACACCAAAATATAGCAGATTCGCTCGAAATGCGTTCAGAAGCAATGTGAAATAATCAGATACATTAATATGTATATGTAAAAATATCTATTATAGTATGCATACATTACGTGATTATCATTTCTATTTAGATTCAATATATAAGATATACTTACGGTAGACATTGAATGGTCCAAGTTGACATGTTAATGGTGTAGTTTGTACAACATTAGTAGCTTTACATGTAATTATTACTTGATTATCATTTCTATTTAGATTCCATATATAAGATATACTTACAGTAGACATTGAATGGTCCAAGTTGACATGTTAATGGTGTAGTTTGTACAACATTAGTAGCTTCACATGTAATTATTACTTGATTATCATTTCTATTTAGATTCCATATATAAGATATACTTACAGTAGACATTGAATGGTTCAAGTTGACATGTTAATGGTGTAGTTTGTACCACATTAGTAGCTTTACATGTATACACAGCATCATTATCATTCCTATTCAGATTCCATGTGTAATCCTTTGTAACCGTGTCATCAGTTGTAGATGATGATAAACCGTTTATCTTACTGTTATCACGATACCAATTTAATGTTGCTAACGGATTGCCATCAGTTGATTGACATCTTATTTTTATTTCGTCATCAAGTAGGTAAGATGGTAATGGTGCACCGGTGGTCTGGTAAGTGCAGACTGGATCATCGGGGGGGGGGTCTACAGTTGAAAATAAATTCAAAACATCCACAGTTAATTATGAAGAGGAAGCATGTTCGTGGCGAAGGGAAAGAGTCTAACAAATTCTACTACTGTAAACATTTTTTCATTTTTTAGGTTACTATGTGTAAATGTTGAATCCGATAGGAGCTTGCATTTTTGTACGTTAGACATTTTTTTCTAAATGGCGCCATTTATCAAGTCCTTTTCCTGTATTAAAGAACAAAAGGAACCAGTAAAGTTTTATTTCAAATGTGACAAATTACCTCGCATATTATTTTTTTTTCATATCGTTAAATGAATCCTAAGTTTAATTTATAGCACTAATCACGTAGTAAATGCCGCCATTTGTTGTGCCCTTTTTATAATTGTTTGAATGAAACCATATAAACTGCTGTTGCAGTAAAAACATATTTTCGATATATCAAAAAATACAAATCTATATGTTGATTGATATTTAAAACATAGCACAACTATCAACCCTTTGTCCGATATATACAGAGTAATGTGTAATATTAATAATTTATCTGAATAATAGATATCCTAAGTGACACAATCACAAGTGTGGCCCCTTCAATGTATGAAGAAAACATTATGCATTACACATTGCTTATTTTTTTATGACTGAACGAACACATGTTAGGGTTTTATAGACTTTATAAATAAAAAGTGGCCACAAGCTTGTTTTTATCTTAAAGGGGAACCGATATTATAAATAGAGCCAAGATTGCCATCGCAATTAGTATGCCAATTTAAACCAATCCGTTCACGTCGTGGCGGGAGCTCCGTGAAATGTGCCATTTACGATTTTTGGAGATCAAGCTGTGATTCCAAATACATTTCTACCGAAATGAATATGTACGCTAGCGATTACACTTGATTGGCTTTTGATATATAAATGTTGTTGTTTTCGGTCGTAACGTGCTGGGACAAGCAAAAATGATGAGTTTAAAATGATAGCTAATGTATGCATAATGCCTGTCAATCACAGTTTGAGTAAACGAAAATGGAAATCTCCTAGATGTTTATTGAATCTACAAAGCTTGTTGGTTTACAAACAGCATTACCGTTACGTAGTTTGTCTAACCATCGGTAGCATTGGCACATGACGATGTAAGACAGCGATGTTTGAAACCAAAGACCAGTCATTGGAAAGATGGGGTTTGGGCCAGACATGTATATGCTACTTAAAATTACAATGCATATGAATAAGCTTTACATACATGTAATATCAACAGTCCGAGAAAGTTTCCGAGAAATGCGCATTTTGCTTTATTTTATTTATAACAAATTAGCAATCTTAATTCCTAGCAGTCTATATCCGAGAAGCTGGATCACGTCAACCACTTCTGTTTCCTGTATAAATCGGTGAGCACAGTCCAAGGCAGAAAACTTCATGTGCTTTAAACAGTGGCACAGATGCACATAATCATTCAATTTTCTGAGGTTGTCTTGCATTCTAAACTAGTATGCATTATTTGCATAACATGTTTCCATCCAAAATACTTGTTAAAAGGGAGAGATGCCGCTGCACAAAAATTAATTGCTTTGACATTTTGAGAGAAAAAAAAACGTTTCTGAGAGTAAGTCAGATTGCTTTCAGTTTTCATATAACATTGTATTATGTTTGTTAATTATGTAAATAAGAAATTTAAATCAAGTGTTTTTGAATGACATATTACAAAGTTTAAGCATGTTTAGCCAGCTTCGATGTTGCCAATAATCTATAAGTACAGATTTTTCTGATAAAGGAAATGTGATTATTTTTTTATTTTAAAGTTCGACAGTAGTGACAGTGGCTAATCGGTGTTTACATTTACCCACAACTAATTGTAAGTCAAAATGCTGGTAAACCAGAGTGTTGAACTTGAATTGAATGCAACTCTGTGTGATCTAAATTTAAACCAAAAAAATTTGTACTGTAATGGCGGTTGTGTAGGTTAGCAGGTTTCATAACATATATTCTGTTCATAAAAATATACTGTTTGTCTCAAAGCATATATTTTTGTTGTACAAAATTGTTCTGTGAAATAAGATGATAAAACGTGTTTATAATGACATCAAGGCCGGTGACCCATAGTTGCGTAGATATTGTTTACACCTGGGTATTTAGGTTTCTGTTACAAAAATATATTCGTTTAGTTTTGTTATTTTAATGAAAAAACTAATATTTATCTCTGGATTTGTTAAGTCACTTGTTGCTTGCATGATTTATTTTTTATTGTGATTTAGCTTCATGTTGGATTAAAATTGGCCTGAATAAAATAGATTATGTTGGTTTTGATATTCAGTATTCAATAATTCGCTAGATAGGGTCGAACATGCCTGACAGTCGGTTAAAAGTCATCACAATTAAACAAAATCAATTTACATATGTAAACTATGTTTGGTACAACAGCTTCTGAAATATATATATCTGAGAAATATTTTATATCTGTAAGCAAATGCCAAAACAAACTGAACTGTGTGTTCATGCCAAGAACTCAAATATTGGCAAGGGCATGGACAATAGTTGATTTTTATAATTTTATTTCCATTGTTTCTTTTTGTCACTATTTCTGTTCTCAAAAAGGGGTGTCCAATTTTGCATTGTATTTTGGTCCCAATTTACTTAGAGCTTCATTTAATTGTTTCAACACCTAGTATTTAGAAACTAAATAACATGTTTGTCTTAAATGTATTTTGGCGAAACAAACATGTACTTTGAAGAAATGTTGTAGCAGGGTATTTCGCGAAGGATGAAATAATATACAATTTGATAAAGATGCTGCCATTTAATTCACATTAAATGCATTCATCAAATTATACAGTCAACATGCACCATTTTCTTTTGCAATGCATAATTACACACATCATGTTTATAAGAATATATAATGTTGTAAAGTTGTATTTATTGTCTTATATTATTACTTATTAGTATTTTCTACTGAGCAACTGCAGCCAATGCCAATTGAAACTAAATTATGTAAATGCTTTAAGATTGTGTTAAGCACTTTTTATTAGCAAAAAATAAAGCAGCTTAACACTAATGTGTCATATCATTATCAAAAAAATATAAAGAGTTTACTTACATCTTATGGTTAATGTTTTATCTTCTGTGTTACTTCCTTTAAAATTAACTGCTTGACATGTAAATGTTCTACCGTTATCATCTCTGTCACTTGGATTGATTGTTAATTCACTGTTATCTGTATTGAGTTGATATCTGTTCAGTGTTGGTAGTGATGAGTC